ACTTCCGTCACGGAAAGTAAAATACTTTAAAATGCATACGATAAGAGTTTATAAGCATTGTATAAAAGTTATTTTCAATAAATCAAACTCTTTAAATAATCATGTCTACAAACTTATAACATACATGGTTGATTTTATAAGTACTGTTAGCTTAAGATATAAAAGGGCGAAATTCCGAAATTCATGAAACTAATCAATTTCAGACGGTTTTTTTAAGTCTAGAGATTTTTTTCCCCCTATTTTTAACTAAAACTCTTTATTTATATATGAAATGTTCATTTTTTTCAATGGAATGTATTATTTTATGCATAATATTTCATTTATTATGCTTATTTAATATTTCTTTTAGATTTTAAAAAAAACTATTTTTATCTTAAAATTCTAGAATTGTTCTTAAAATTTGATATATATTTTCGAACTCTGAAATTTTAGTCCGACATCTGAAATGCTGGTCCGAAATCCGAAATATAAGTTTTAAATATGTTTTTTGTTAGAAAAATATTTTTTTGTTAAATCTAAAATTCTCCATTTAAGAATTGGTGGTTGTTTTTAAAAATAAAATAAAAAATAAAAAAAAAAAAAAAACAATTTGGTTATTCAATTACACGCTACATCTATAAAATAACTAAGGGATAATGTCATAAAAAAACCTTAATTTTGTAAAAAAAAAAAGTCGGTTTTACCCTCCGATGGGTTTTTGTGTCATAATGTCGCATACTTGTCTCACCTTTTGCGTTTATGCCAAATACCCGGTTGCAAGAGGACGGAAGTCCCCTGAGACACATGGACCAAAAGGTTAGGGCCTGGAAAGGCGTATGTGCGTAAGTAGTATTTTGGGGGATTCACTAAGCATTTATGCTTACAGTTGTTATGTTATGTGCTTCACGTACTAGCGATGACCGTGGGAAGGCGCCGGCGTGATCTGTACATACTGACGAAGGAACTGTTTTATGATCATGGGATATATTTTGTTACAATGACATTTGTTACATATGTGATTCCAGAATATTAAATGATGGTTTTTGATGTTTGCAAAAATGAAAAATTGTTTTGAAAATTCACGTTGTTACACTTTAGATCATCCAAACATGCTCAAAACAATGCTAAAAGATAGCAGATGCGAGTTTAACATTGATAGTATTGAATAGTTGAACAAAGTAGAAGTTCCGGGGTGTCACATATCCTCTCCCGAAAACATGAAAAATACGAAAGATATGGGGGTATGAAGCTCACCTTGGGGTTTTCAAGATGTAGATGAAGAAGATGAATTTTTTTGAATCCTAGCTTAAGCTTGGAAGGAATCTTGAAATGGTGGTTGATATAAGCTCCATATTCACGAAAACGGAGTGGTATGAGGAAGGATTGTTAGTGAAATATTGGAACAAAGTAACATATTTTACAAAAACTTACCTAGTTTGTGTAGCTTGAAGAAAACTTTCTTGAATAACTCATACAAAGTCACGATTTTTAGAGGAAGAGATGAGAGGAAAATTGAAGTTTGAGAGGAAAGAAGAACTGTTTGAAGTTTTGGAAATGTGAAGTATTTGTGTGTATGTGTATGGCTGAGAGGTAGACAAAAGAGGATGGGTAGGGTACTAAGGTTTGACTTTAGCTATGGATGATGTGAAGTTGCTTGGTTACATGAAGGGTAAACACTTTGTTACATGTTGGTTTTTCATGAGGTGGCATGTCTATATAATTCACCATTTTCTCTTTTTTTTAGATGGGCTAATCCGACCCAAGAGGGGTCTCGGCCCATGGTTGGCCCAAAATAGTGGTGTTCGGTTTAACTTGGTCAATAGGAGTTTTTCGGCTCAAAATAATGTTTAATAAAAGTTTTCAACCCATTTGGACCCAATGAGAGGCTATCGGCCCAATAGGGCCCAATAAGGAAATATTGGTCCAATAAAGGTTTTGGATTGAGAATTCTTAGGCTCATGCCCGAAATGATTGAATTTGGCTTATTGGATCGAGATTTGGGCTTATACAAGCAGATGATATTATTCAGGAATTCACATCTTAACCTAATTTTTGCCAGTTATGACAAAAGGCTACATATCAATACCCAAGTGATGCTTAGTCATTCACTTCGTGGTCAAAAGGTATATCTCATTATCATAATAACACGTGAAAGCAGATTGTACATATAACACATAACATACAATTGTCCCTATATTGAACTCACCGAATGATAAAATGATGATTTGGGAAGCACTTTGCCTCTTAAAATGACTTTCTTTGACGAAACTGGGGATTTTTTTGAAAACCGGACCTTGCGTGGGCAGAGTTTCAACTTGAAAATATTTATTTTCTTGGGTCTTCGGTGCGTCGGGACTTGCTTCGGGTATCGGGGATGTTTCCTAGGCTTCGGGGGGTGTTAGGGTAATTTGAGAGAGAGTAGAGGGTGAGAGAGAATCAAATTTGTAACCAAAATTCGGGCAGCCTCACACCATATTTATAGTATCCGAAGGACCAGATTACGTTAGGCGTAATTTCATGTATGCGAGGCATACTCCCTTAATAGCCACTATGCTAGGCGTAAGCCATCGTATGTTGGGCGTACGATGGGATCAATTCGAACGCGTCAAGGCTACGAATACGTGTACCACATGCGAAAAAGTAGGCGACATAGCCAACTTCAGATCACATACAAGAGTACACTGGGCGTACTTTGATTTATCAAACTTCACAAATTCGTAACTCTCGCATATGAACTCCATTTTTTACGTTCTTTATATCCACGCATAGGTATAACCGTGCTCTACAACTTTCATTTAGACTCCGATGACTAATTTTGACTTCACTTTTAATATTATATTTTTAACAGGCCGAGACAAAAAACTCTGTTCAAAATTCATAACTTCTTCATCCGACGTCCGTTTCCGTCTGTCATTTTACCGTTGAATTGTTATTGACGAGATCTTCGATTCTCGTTTAAGTTGTGTCGGCTAAAAATCACTCGATCTTTATTTCAAGTTTTTAATTATATATTGCTATACCGAATCTTAAATAATCGCTTCTTCATACGAAGTCAGATTTTGACGTTCTTTTTATGAAAATTCTTGATTTAATGAATATTACGATTTTCATTTGGATCACTAAAGCTAAAAAGTAATTTATCGTAAACTCACTTTTTACGTCATATGACGTCGTTCCGGTTTTGTCGCGAAAATTCAATAGGTCATAACTTCTTCGTTATAACTCGAATTTTAGTGAGGTTTTTGCCTAAATGTTTCTAATGAGATAATTTGCAACTTTTAATAGCATTATTATTATTTTACTTATTTCCAACTTAAATTTTTACATTTTTGTTAATTTCGATAATTGACTTTTGATTGGAATCTCATAAGAGTTCCACGTCTTTTCGAATGATTCTAAACATAGTTTTACTTCAATCTTCATAAAACTATCTTGTTAGAACTCAATGCTCAAAACCATATATTATTTAACTAGGTGTGAGACCCATGTATTACATGAGTTTATTTAAAAAATTAAATTAAATATGAAATTTTAACAATTTGAAAAGTTTCAAATTTATAAGAAAAATGAGAAAAAAATTGAATTATTAAAATTAATGAGGCTTTAATATTGAATACATTACATATATAAATCTTTTTTAATAAATATCTTATATATATATATATATATATATATATATATATATATATATATATATATATATATATATATATATATATATATATTACTTTACATATTAAATGTGGAATTTTAATTTAATATAATGAAAAATACAATAAAATAACAAGTGGAAAATAGAAAATTCAAAAATTTTAGAAAATATCATGTGTCAAAATGAATGAGAAGAGGACATGTGGCAAAAAGTTCTTTATTTATTATGGATGATAATATTCATTTTAAAACTAACAAAACACGATAATTGAACATGTATGTTACATGTGCTTATGACTTAATTTGTATGTAATAATAATTTGTTTTTTTAATTTGATATTTTAACTTATATACTTGTTTTGTAGAATCTGGATGTTAACGCTTTCCTCCAAAACCCGACATTTGTGACGACAATTGGAGATATTATCCGTTTATTTAAGAACTAAGTCAACAATGCGGGCAACAACAACGAGAAAAACAACGATGGGGGAGACGATGAAGCCTAGTATTTCTTGTTTTATGTTATTGGTGATGTTATTTTAAATTTATTAGATAGTTTATGGATTGTATATTTGATATTTATTTTGGATTTATTAGATAATTTATGTAATGTGGTATGTATTGTTTTATGTTATTTGATGTTTTATGTAATGTGGTATGTATTGATTTATGTATTTTTATAAAATCTGCATTTTATAATATATAAACTAATATCATATATAAATTGTTAAAAAAAATTAGTGGCGACACCATTTGCGACGACATGAAACAACTCGACAACGCATACCTCCAGGAAGCTTTGCCGGAGAAACTACGATCGGTGACTGGAAAATTAATAGAGGCGACGCTAATAGCGACGACATGTGCTTTTAGCAACTTGTCTACGCAAAATATGTTACCGACGATTTTTGGCATCCATTTGTGACGTTATTTGCCGTCGCTAAAGGTAAGATTTTTTGTTGTGAAAGCATGTGGAACTCTATTTTGTTCGAGAAAATTACAAGAAAGATTGATTTCCGTCCAATACGTTCCAACAAATTCTGAATTAGCTGATATGTATACAAAGAATCTCCCAAGAAAGAATCATTACAACTGAGCAAGTTGAGAGTTTTTCCTCTCCAACTTGAGGGGGGTTTTGATATTTATGATGCCACGTCTGCCACATAAGCACAAGTGGTTGAGTTAGTTAGTGCATGAAGTCTGTTAGAAATTTGTTAAGGTTAGTTTCATTCTGGTATATAGTTAGCTCTTGTATCCGTTTCCTTTCAATAATGAGAAATCACTCATTCATCAAACTTCTCTCTTTCTCTAAATTCTCAAACCTTTCTCATTAAAGACATATTATATTAAAAAAATTGAAAAAATAATACATTATCTTTAAGTATAGTTACATTGATCTTCAAATCTCTGTATAGAGAAGAGATGACGGGTAGAATTTATGATTCTAGTTAAGGGTTTGATTTGATTCATTTCTCGAAGTCTGTAAATGGGAAAAAAAGAGGAAAAAAAAAAACTTTCTTAGAAGTTCTCTTTGTGAAAGTCAAATTTAGTTGACGTCTTGTGTGAGAAATCATGAGCTAGTTGTTTCAGCTTTTGTGTTGGTGCTGGCGCTCCACAATAGAACACCCCTGCGGATTTTAATAGACAAACGTTAGAAAACATCACATATATGATCAGTCGATCAGATGATGGAATTACACGAGCTTGTTTTATTATCATATATGATATATATCATACTCTATTCTTAATCGACAGTGCATTCTCTTGTGGGAAGATAGAATTACAAGAGAAAAAACAGCTTTTCAATATCATGATTTATTTATTGACGACATGCATGCAACCATTTGGACATGGAAAAAACAAACCCGCTCCTACTTAACCTTTGTTAGATAAACAATATTATCAACGTGCCAATAAATACTTGGTGAAATAACATCATTTGGCTAGCTACTGAATTTTGAATTTTGTGTTTTTGTATTCCTGTATTTTTTATACCCTTCTTTGTCAATGTTAATAAATTAGCTTATTAATTATAAGCACTTCATGTTGATGATCAATCCCCATTAGCATTAAATCACCAGTCACTATAAATGTTGTATTTTAGCCTTTTAAGGTCCAGCAATGTATATAGATATGCCTACGAACGTTAAACGGTTTAAGTATATCTTAAAAAAATGAACAATGAGATGAATTAGCGCACAAAGGGACTGACCTATTCTGGAACCAGTATGTTTAAGAGCGATGTGCTTGTACACCTCGGGCCAGTCGGGTTTGGCAAAATGAGTCTTAACACGAGTATCCGAGACAACATCAACTCCCTTTTTAGCATGATAAAGTGACTGAAGCATAGTAATTAGAGCAGACCTGGCGTCACCTTCCTCATAAACACTTGTGCAATAATTATGCATCTCAATGATACCATTTTTATCCATTTCAGCAGCCTCGTTCATAATGCCTTTAAACCAGTCGAAAGAACCCTGTTCCCTAGTTACCCAATAGAAGTAAGCACTTGTTGGTCCTGATTTATTCTTTTGTACTAGTGTACCATTTTCCAAGGCACTCACATCCTCTTCTTTGGCTTTCATGTTATTCACAATATCTTTCACAATACTGATCATAGGGGTTGCTCCTATTCCTAAACCCACTAGCAACACCACGTCGTATTTCTTGTAGTCTTGTGATGGTGCTCCATATGGACCGTCAATTAAAACTTTTGGGTAACTGTAAAAAAAAAGTTTCAACTAGGTAATTAGCTACGTGGGTGAAATACCATGATATATAATGTTGCTATAAATAAAAATTAAGAACAAAAATTTTTCTATAAAATAATGTCGCCACATATATTTGCTATATTAGTCAAGGAATTAAAGAATCCGTTTTGTTGAAGAAAATCATGTTATAGATGTTCTCGATAGCAAGGTGTACACAAAATATGAAAATAGTCAAGGTTTAATTAGGTGCAAATTAAGAAAGGTTTTGTATATATTATGTTTTTATATATATACTAAACAATAAGGACTATTCGATGGTAACATGTTTCTCGTACTAATTAATTTGGAAGCTTTCAGATATCAATTAGATGGCTCAGTTTAAATATTAAAATATATGAAAATCTAGAAAGAGTTGAACTCGCTTACTTTGGATTTTCACCTTGGCCATCAAGTCCACTTTTTCCATTAGCTAGAGGCTGACATACCACCAAAACATACATGTTAAACACATATAAACTAATTAACTCACGTGTCATAAAGTAATATTAACATGTATGTCGTGTACCTCTGAAAAGACTGTTTTTAGTTGTCCAGTCCAATCACCGAGACTCCGGATATGAACGCTAAGGTAGTCATCACCAGGAGCAGATGTGATGGAAAATGGGTGCCTGTGGACATCATGTATTAATTAATCATTAACTTCACTTAATTTTTATTTATATATGTATCACTTAATATGAATTTTAAAAGCCCTGTATAGCTAGCTACACACCATTCAAATGGGGAGACAGCTGCACATTTGACAAACATGTATTGCCCACTCTTGTATTTAAACCCTTGTGGCTTCGACATATGAAGTGCCAACACATTTCCAGGATAATTCACAGCCTTAATTAAACATATAATGTATCATTTAATATATCATATTATTGTGAATATATGATAAAAAAAAAAAAAAAAAAAAAAAAAAGTCTGAAATTAATTTAACCGTGAATTAAAAACTATATATACCTTAAGTATTTTGACTGTCTCTCCACTAGATCGAAACGCTCTTATTAATCTCTCACAAGCATAAATCGAAATTGGTACGGCCAAGTACATCCACGTCTGAACATAATCAAAACTTGATTAGTTAATTTAGTTTAGTACAATTAAGGATACGATAAGAAAGATGATTTTCAAATTAAATATATGAAATCAAACATATATAAATTAAGGAACTAAATAATTACCGTTTTCTTGTACCATTCCTTTGTGAGGTAAAGTTTGATACCATGAACTATGAGCAGCGTGTAGACAATAACAAATAGATGATGTGTGTACCAAAACGCATTAAACCCAGTGACTTTCTTTAAAACCAATGGTAGTTTGAGCTTGTTTCGTCTTAACCATGGTGTTGCGAGTGTAAAAGCAATCATCATTAGCACTAACATTATGATTCCGGTATACCCTTCAACTTCCTTCACAAAATGCCAATAATTCTTAGCTTGATCCCCGAAAAACTGTTGCATCGGTTTATACTCTTCCTCTGTCGCGTGAATTAGCCTCGGGAAATCACATGTTAAATGCGAAATCGCATGTAACCCAACTCCAATCGAAATCGCCACCCCAATTACCTACAACAATATCAATTTTTTTAGTATTTATATAAGTTTAAGTTAAAATAATTTACATAATATTATTATACTCACTTTGTGGAAATTGAGATTATCATCGAATGGAACAGCAACACCTAACCGGGTCTTGTTCCTAAGCCAGGTAATCGTGTTTCGACAAACAGGTAACAGAATAAGGGCCATGTTTAACTTTAATGTCTCGGCTGATCCTTTAGCGATACAAACACAAACACCGAGCACTTTATATACTGCTCTGTTCTTGTACTGAATGTACTTCCATGTAAACAAAGCAACCATGACAGCTGTCCAAAGTACAATCACCCAACATCTCTCCCAATTATCCACTAAAAAGAACCTGAAATCTCCATACCATCTTCTGATTGGATTACCACTTCGTGTGGTTTTCAGCTTTTGGTTTAACATTTCGCTCAGGTTTCGGTTTTCTCCTATCACGTTGTGTGTTTGTGCTTGTAACAATAGCATCTCCAAATTCTCAATCTGTTTAATTAATTAATTAATTAACTTTTTTTTATTAATCATCTTATATATAATGTAGTTGTGTGTATAATCTTACCATGATGTAACCGAAATTTTCCGGGTCTAACTCTTCCATGATCATCGCAGCGTATTCGTCAGCTTGTTTTTTAATATTCGCTAGATTGTTTGCTGAAGCACTAAGGCTAATAATCTGCATTGCATGGGCATAGAATATAGATTATCTATAATCATGAGTGCAATTTTTGAAAAAAATAAGTATATATACATATTTCCTTGTAAATCTACCTTCTTGACTTCGTCTTCTGTGATCCTACCATCTCCATCTCTATCAACCCTGCATTTATATACACATTTCTACATATGATAACAAAAATATGTGAATAAATACAGATTAGATTAAATAATTGAATACTCACATGTCAAAGAATGTCTGTAGCCTTGAATCGAAACTCTGATCAGAAATTTGGTCCCAAAACTCCTTCAGTTGTGCTTTGTTAATGGAGTCACCAGTTATGTTCCTCCTTAGAGCTAGTGAGTTAAACAGCTCTCCAGCGAACTCTTTGGACTCTTTGTTCATGCCTACCAGATTAAAATAAATTAAATTAAGTAATAATTAAATAAAAACCTAATTATTAAAAAAATGTGAAGAACATATGCATGGATGGATGGAGTTAGTACCAATGCATTCCCCGAAAAGCGACCGTGGAAGTAAGCCATTGGTGGCGGCGGTGAGACGGTCAAATCGCTTCTCTAAGTCGGCCCACGGTGTAGCTCCGCCGTCGGTCTTGCTAATGAACTTGAGCCCCTTGAGAGCATAAGTTGCGACGGGCTTACTCCTGTCTAAACGACCCAAGGGTTGTCGTTTGGGTTTCGAGAAGGTAGTCAACCGCTTGAAGTCTGACGACACCTGCCGGATCCTCGACGATGCATTTTGCACCACCGACGACCTCTTTTCCGACCCTTTAGCTAACACACTCAGCTGCTCCGGGTCGTCCACGTCAGCTCCGCCGGCCGTCTTCACGCTCTGTACTGCCTCCGAATCGTCACGGACGTTCATATTGATTTCCGGCAAACCAGTTCTTCCGTCATCCGTACTCATCTTTTGCATTTGCTTCCGAAGCTAATCAAATTGAAAATCGTCTGAAGAGAGTGGTGGATGTTAGTTAATTAATAAGAGAAAAATGTGAAGAATAATAATGGTGGAATTTGTATAGCTGGGTTGTTTTTGGGAAAATGAAGGAGGAGAGGCCTCCTACTTATATGCTCAACGTGTGTGTCACCACCCTTGAGGATATATTAAAATTACCCGAAAATTAATGACATTGCTACCCTTAAATTTTAAAATGACGAAATGATTAGGAGACACCAAAATATTTTGACTTCCTGTTCATTAAAAGGTCTATTTTTACAAACAAGACTAATCGAACAACGATGGACCCAAGAGGTTTATAAACAAATGACAGAGATTTAAATTATTTGAAAACCATATGGGTGGTGTGTAATATTTGGTGGTTTTAATTTCGTTTTCTTTATATTTAATTTCTGAACTCGAGTTTTCAATTAAACCATATGGGTGGTGTTTAATATTTGGTGGTTTTAATTTCGTTTTCTTTATATTTAATTTCTGAACTCGAGTTTTCAGATTAAACCGTGTGACAAATTGACTGATATAATATTTATCATAGGAAGTAAGTCTTTAAATAAATCTAGTTTTGACTGTTTATATTTATTGTTCATTTTTTTTACTTTTGATGTTTTTATTATTTAATTTTGATTTTAAATATTTTTGTTGTTGATATATAATATTTATGGAAAATATATAAATATGATTGTGTTTTAAATATTTTTTTATTGTTATAAGTTTTATCAAATAATTTATAATACAAATAAAAATATTTAAAATTAAAGTTGAAGAACAAAGAATTTAAAAAATCAAAAGTAAACAATAAATATAGAAGAAATAAAGTAATAATTAGGTTTTTGAGTACATTCGAATATATATATATATATATATATATATATATATATATATATATATATATATATATATATATTTATCTAATACACGTTCTGATATTGCAACTAATAAATTGGTTACCTAATCTTTCTTTTGTCAGAAACCCAATTAACTCGAACTATGTATTCGAATCATAAATACTTCAGTCGATTTATTTGGATATAGTTTAGTTTCAAACCTAAAATATACACGATAGAGAGAGAACGGAATGAATAACGAAATGGGTTGTTGACGAGCTCCTGAGCTCCCCATATGAACACCTCTTTAACAACTATAAATGTATCTCCGTTTGACATTCGGATGAGTTGTTTTATTTTTTCATTTTATATTTGTTCTAAATTTCTACCAAATCCTATTTATTGTTTAAATTTACAATCTAACAATAAAAAACTATATATTTAACATATTCATACCATTTCATATGTTTTAACAAACATTATTATTTTCTTTATCATGTTATATAAATAGTACATAAAAGACAAAAATATAATAATATAATGACACATTTATATATGATTAAGAATAACGTGTTGCATGGATACTATAAAGTAGGATTTTTTTAATTAGTTTTACTTTTTATTTATTTATTTTTATTTTTGTAATTAAGTACGTAGTTAAGTTATTATCCTTGATTTGCAAAAATGATTACATCTTGGAGTACGTCAAATAATGACATCTTGGACTATGTGATTCTTAATTTAAAATTAAGGATATATACATTAAAATCTCAACATTTTCATCGATTTGATAAAAAAATTTTAAACTTTATTTTTTTAACAAGTTTAAATTACAGACAATTTTTGACACTTTTACTATTTTTTTTTTCCAGTTAACCGGTAATTAGGACTTTTGTATTAAAAAAAAAAATTAGAACTTTCTTGTCAAATCTCAATTACGATTTTACTGTTAAAAAAAATAAAGTTTAGGATATTCTTATCAAATCGTTGAAAATATTGGAACTTTAGTCTATTTTAGTAACCCAAGAACTTTTAATAGTGACTTTTGTTGCAACACCACTGTTTTTCTTACCATCATTATTTTGTACCCTGACACAATCACACGATCAGGAGAAACATATGCAAAAGAGAGAGCGAGAAAGGGTGAAAAGACTTGTAAAATTTCTTCTTACTTCACCACCAAATCTTAAACTAAAAAGTGGGGACAGATTATATAAACACAAACAACACACACCTAGTAAAAAAGGTGTGAATGTGGTGAAGGGAAAGAATGGTAATTTTTTTTTTTGATTTCTTATTTCTCCATTTTTTGGACTGTTTTTTTTTTTTTTTTCTTTCTTTCAATGCTTTAAAAACCGGTTTGAACCAGCCGATTAAACTGGTTGGATCGGGAAGCGGATGAGGGAGCGGTTCAACTATCATCAGTTTTATGTTCATTTCTGAACCATATTGAATTGGCTAGTTTTTAGAAAAACCCGGTTGAACCGGTCAAAATAAACCGATTGAACCGATTAAACCGAATAAAAATACATGAAAAATAACCATTTATATAATAAATTTTGTAGATTTTTTTCAAATCTATTTATTTAATTTTTTTCAATAAAAACATATGATATTTGTTATAAAGTTTTTTAGTATTTATATAATCTTATGAGGTGTATTTATATTCCAAAATCTTTTTAATTATATTTTAGATATTTTAGATAACTATCTAATATTTGATAAATATAGCACGGATCGTGCATACACATTTGTTTACACGGTCGATTGATGATCTGGCATGTACTAGAAAGATATGTTAAAATAGAATATCATAAAATATTTTATATTTTCTTTTTTAAAGCTTAAATTTGTTTTTTTGAAAAAGACTTTGTAAATTTATTTATTATTTTTTTTTTTAATGATTTAGCCATTTTAGTTTTTTTTTTCAAAAACAATTGTAATCGTAAGAGTTTTTTTGATTTTTTGTTTATTATTATTATTATTATTATTATTAATTTTTGAGAAAAATTAATAATGTTAGGCTTTATTTGGAAGCATTCAGAAGGTTAATGTTTTTTTTTTTTTTGGAAAGAAAAAGGAAAAGTCACACGTTGGCTCTACTATGAATTTCGATTTTACCCTTTCAGTCTCTAATGTTATTTATGTGTCTTTTAGGGGAAACAAGTCATTTTTGACAAAACGAAGTGGCAACCCGAGTACCTATTATACAAGCTCACTTAGTTTTATATTTTAATAATTAAAAATATAAGGGGGGCCCACAACATCTCAATCAATCAATTTATCTATCTATCTATATTGGCAGATGTGTGTGTTACCCGGGGGGTCCCGGGCCACTGCTCCGCTTCAGTCCATTAGGGTTAAAAAAATTCTATTAGGTGCAGCGACTTTAAATTCGTTCGGGTGATACTATACTTTCGAGAATTTGATGCCCAAAAAATAAAAAGTGTAAAAAATGCTAGACCAATAAAAAAAAAAATAGCCCAATAGCCCAAATGCATTGTGAGCTTGTGGCCAAAGTTGCTTATTAAAATTTTAACCTAATTTAGAATTAGCCCAATAGCCCAAATTTCTAGGTCTATATGCATTTGGCAGTCAAAGAAAAGAAGATGGAGTGTTGGACACGATCGACTACAGAAAAGAAAAAAATTGACACTTATTCTTCTGTGAAGGCTGTCAATGAGAAAAAAAATCGGTTGCTTCCCTTCAATCGATTACAACCATTCAACCAAGTTAACAAGTCTTAAGTATTTCGATTTTGCTTCGCTTGACTTGACACTCTTTTCAATCCTACAAATACAATGAAACAAATAAGTATTAATAATTTTAGGTTTATGAAATTAGTCAAATTAGTTGTTGTTTTTTTTGTTGAAATTTGTTATTGTTTAGGTGAAATTAGTAGTTGTTAACCTTGAAATTACTTGTTTACTTAATATTAGTAGTTGTTAACCTTGAAATTACTTGGATGGTTTATTTGTTTGATATTGAATTGTTAGGATAAAATTGAGTCCTTTTTTAGAAGAACAAGCATCAATAAATCAAGTGTTGGAAAATCCTCTAAAAGACCATGCTCCAATGATTTAAGTATTTGAAGAATCCTCTAAAAGACCATGTCCTTCTAATCAATCATTCCCTTTAGTTTCTAATGTAAATCCACAACCTACAACTACTCCAATTACAAATGTTGAACTGAAAGATCTTCCAAAAGGCTCGGGTGTTAGACCAAAGATTACAACTTACCATCAAAATAAAAAAGATGAAATAAGGAGGGCATATTTGCTTCAAGGACCTTGTCAACCAAAAGGTCATACATTCCCTTAAAAAAAATAGGTTTAAAAGAAAAATGTTTTGTTGTTAAGTGGTTTGATGACTTTGATTGGTTAGAATATAGCATAAAAGAGAACAAAGAATTTTGTTTATTTTGCTATGTATGTGGAGATATGGTGGGAAAACAACATGGGAGAGATGCATTTGTTTCACAAGGTTTTGATAGTTGGAATAAAAAACATTCATCGAGAGATCATGTGGGAGGTATTGATAGTTTTCAATTGTGAATTTTTATTGAAAGAAAAACAATCTATTAGTGCAGCTTTCAAGAAGCACACCAAGATTGAGGAGAGCAATTATAAACTTCGTTTAGGTGCTTCGATTTGGTGTTGTAAATTTTTATTGAAAATGGTTTACCATTTCGGGGTCATGATGTGTTAGTGACTCTCTTAATAGAGAGCTTTTCTTTGAGTTATTATATTTCTCGAGAGACCATAATGAAGGCATTCACAATGTTACCTTAGAAAATGCTCCTAAAAATAATCAAGTGACGTGCCTGAGGACTCAAAAGCAGATTGTTAAATGCTTTTCAACAAAGATAGTTTTAGATATTTGCAAAGAAATTGGTAAATATGTGTTTTCTTTATTGGTTGATGAATCTAGTAATGTATCAAAAAAAGAACAAATGACCATAGTTTTGAGGTATGTCGATAACTATGGAGTGGTGAAGGAAAGATTCATTGGAGTGGTGCACGTGAATGATACATCATCTTTGACTCTTAAAGCGGCTGTAGATGACATTTTGACCTGTAACAATTTGAGTATGTCCCAGGTAAATATAACATTTTTTCTTCCTTATAATGAATTTTAATTGAATATTATTCGCTTTAATGTTTAATATCTTTTTTTATCAGGTAAGAGGACAAGGTTGCGATGGGGCAAGCAATATGCGATGTGCATTTAATGGTCTAAAAGC